TAGCAGTGTGATCACAACTGTCTTTCTGAACTGACTTTATGAAAATGATATTTATTTAATGTCAGCTTTGACCCCTTTGACCCTTCACAGGTCTCTGAGGCCTTCAGCACTCTCTCTCTCTCTCACACACACACACACACACACACTGTATTAACTTACTTGTAGGAGCTGCCGCCTGAAATCTCCTCTTTGATCTGTCTGTTCACGGCGTCCCTCCCTCTGCCCTCTCCTTCCCCCTTCAGGACCACTTTCTTCTCCCCCTCCTTCTTGCTGACGCGCTTTTTCCTCTCCTGGCCCTGGAGCAGGTCCTTCTCCTGGACCTTGTCGGCTATAGCGCTTTTTTCAACGCCACTGTCCGCCTCCGCCAACACCACATGCTTTTTTGGGTGCTTGGGCCGAGCCGGTGTGCGATCTTCACCGCCCGGAGGCGGTTTGGGTATCCAGGGGTGATCGTACCTCTTCGGGATGGGCCAGGGCTTGAAGTCCTTCTGGTACTGGGTCTCACTGTTGAACGGTGTTTCCGGTTCGTGGTACTCGTTCTTGGGCTTACAGCTCGGTTCGGGACGCACTTTCCAGTGCTTAAAGTCCTCGCGCATCACAGAGCTGCACACGCGCTCCTCGGAGACGCACCTTCGCGGCGCGCGTGCAGTCGGAACGGCGCGGCTTTCTGCGCGAGACGGCTGCGTTTCTATAGCAACTCGGGCCTGGGGAGGATGTAGCTGCGGCTGCAGCTGGATGTGCTGCATCTCGGAGACGTCCGTGTATTTGGAGAAGACCAAAGGCACCGCAATGTCAGCCTTGTCCAGCTGGTTCCAGAAGCGGGCCATGCAGCACGCCCTGCTGATGCAGGGCCACGCCATGGTGAGCCGAGCTCACAGCTCCGCTACAGCACGGTGTCCCGCGGCTCGGACAGGGGGGAGACGTTAGTCCACTCGGTGCTGTCAGTGAACCAAGATGTCCGAGCTTCACGGAGGGATGCGACGCTGTCTTTGACGTTAAATTCGCTTCGTGTGGAAACCCATCGCGCTTTCAGGGAACACAGCTGCAGAACTGAACGACTTTGTTTTGGGGTTTTTCTTTTTCTAACAGACGTCCTCTCCGCGTCTCTGTGTCCTCTGTGTCCGTGCGTCCTGCTACATCACTCCACGGCAGGGCTCTGCAAGCAAACACGGCCCCGCCTGCCCGCTCAGCATCCCAGAGACACTACACTGAGCCGAGGATGCACTTAGACGTCACGTTAGAGACAATCTAAAGAGGACTTCCGGTGTAACCTGCATTGTAAAAGCTCTTCCACTGAAGCAGCGCAAATTGAAATACACCTCAAAGAAAAATAAACATATTAAAGGGATTTACCTTGTGTGTCGACAGGCTCCTATTAATAAACAGAATGTCTGACGGGAGCTACAAACACCGAAACACTGACTCCCATTGAGACTATC